GCAGCGTTCAGGAGGTGCAAGCCACAAACAGGAAAGAGAATAAAATATGCTCCATTGGTGCCATGAAATAAATCATACACTGAGGGAATAAATAGTAAACACAGTGCAGGAGGGAGAGACACACCCTTTGTGGCTACTCATCGATGATGAAAAGGAAAATGCAAAATACCCTTTCTCCTTTCTCAAAGCAACAGATACTGGCATGATCCAAAACAAACCCAAAAATCTTTTGGAATGTGTGATCCCGGGCAGGCCTGTAAGGAATAAGACAAAGCAGGGAAGCAGAGAGAAACGGTACAGCTGGAAGATGGGGATAGTGGGCCTCAACAAAGTCCCTGAAGCCAGAGAACTTTTGGAGCTCTGACATGACACCACAAGTGGAAAATTCCACACCTGGCCTCATGTGACCGGTCAGTGAAAACTCAGGTACACACTACACAGTTAATTCAGTGTCCCCGAGGGAAAAAAAGACCTTCCCAGCCCCCTTCAGCTGCAATGTGTTTTTTCTTTCTTTTTTTTCTTTTTTGAGACGGAGTTTCGCTCTTGTTACCCAGGCTGGAGTGCAATGGCGTGATCTCAGCTCACCGCCACCTCCGCCTCCTGGGTTCAGGCAATTCTCCTGCCTCAGCCTCCTGAGTAGCTGGGATTACAGGCACGCGCCACCATGCCCAGCTAATTTTTTGTATTTTTAGTAGAGACGGGGTTTCACCATGTTGACCAGGACGGTCTCGATCTCTTGACCTCGTGATCCACCTGCCTCGGCCTCCCAAAGTGCTGGGATTACAGGCTTGAGCCACCGCGCCCAGCCTTGCAATGTGTTTTTTCCACACATTCCCAGATTCCCCCAAACACACACCTGCACAAAGGGTAGTAAAATGGTTCATTGTACCCAAACTTTGTTTCATGCACAAGATTATTAAAAATATTATGTGAAATGACTTTTTAGAGAAGCGAGAAGAGAAATGAGAGGGGAGGGAGGGAGGAGTTGGGGGAACAGGTGAAGCCAAGGTTTAGGCAAAGCTGTGAGAAGGTGACATTTGAGTGGCGATCCCATGGTGAGAGAATGGGGCAACCTGCTGAAGGAGCAGAAGCACCGCGGGAAGTAGGGTATGAGCAGAGGAGGAGCTCAGTGTGTTGGAGCAGAAGCACTGGGGGAAGTAGGGTATGAGCAGAGGAGGAGCTCGGTGTGTTGGAGATCGGGGACTCCTGTGGAGTCTTGTCGGACAGTGTTGGGACAGGGATGGACTGTGGGGACTGGGTTATGGGGAAGGTGTTGCTTTAGGCCAAGCTGGAGATGCTAGTGGCTCAGATCAGAGCTCGAGTAGTGGGGACACACAGACACTGAACGAATGATGAAATTCACTCATTCTGCATGTGCGCCATGTGATGTGTCTGCTGTTTTAGGCACTGGGGATGTAATGGTGGACTAAGTAGAAAATAATATAAATAGAGAACAGTTTCTATTTCCTGTCTTCCTGGAGCTGCCATTGTGTTGGGAGTGATAAAAGAGACCGTGAGAAGAAAGGCCAGCACTTTCTAGAATTCCTATCTCCTTAGAATGATGATGTAGATGGACATATATTGACTTAGTGAAATTATTAAGTGAAGGAATTGTGCCTACAAATGTCATATTTTTGTCTGATTTCACTTACATTTATAGAGAGTGGATAATTGGCATAGATAGTATTAAGATTGTTTATCTTGGGATGATAAGATTGTGGATGATTTTTACTGTTTTTTTGCTGTTCCCTCTAAGCTCTCTATAGGAAGCATGCTTTTGATCAATAAAACTTTTAAAGTTGGAATTTATGCTGCTTTTATTCATTGAAAAAAAATCACATTTGAATCTTTCTATTAGGTTAGGCTTTATATCTACATTAATGCAGATATGAGGAGAACACAGTCTCCCTGGCCTATGCCAAACACCGACCAAATGAGGAAACTCACTCAATCTGCATGTGTGCCGTGTAATGTGTCTGCTGTGCACCAAGTACTGTTTTAGGCACTGGGGATGTAATTGTGAACCAAGTAGAAAATAGTAGAAATAGAGAACAATTTGTTTCCTGTCCTCCTGGAGCTGCCATTGTGGACAGGCATGGTGAGAGAGACCATGAGAAGAAAGGCCGGAGCCGTGTCCTGCAGAGGGTGGTGTGCCCAGGGAGGGACATGTGTGTGGGGTTGTCCAGGAACAGTGTGCTGCGCAGGGAGGAAGGAGGTGGATGGTGGTGTGGGAAGAGCAGCCAAGATTCTCATAGGCTTGAGAGCTGGAACCCTGAGGTCTACCGCTGGGCTAGATATGTAAGGTGCGGGAGGAGAGAGGAATCGGGAATGACTCTTTGATTTCTGACATGAGCAACTCAGAGAATGAGAGTGCTATAGTTTAGAAGCTTGGGAGGTGGATTTCGTGGGGGAACAAATGAGGTATTAGGCACCTCAGTGGTTATACTCAAATGAATATACTACATTAGAGCTCAGAAAAGTCTGGGCCAGTGACGTGAATCTGATCATCATCTAGAGTATGAATGGCGCAGGAAGCCACTTGTCTAGGTAAGGTGACAGAGGAAAAGGTTGAGCATAGCAGCCAACATTTAGGGGTAATGCTAGAAGGCAGGATAGTACGGAATCAGGGAAGCCGAGAGGAGGTGGCAATGCCAGGTGGCTGGAAGGGCTCTGTTAAGAGCTGTTCAGTGTCATAATGGGAACAGAAGCTCAGTCGGAGTGAGTAAAGGTAACCAGGAGGTGAGGATGCTGAGAGGTAGGACTATGGATAAGCTTTGTGTGAAGTTTTGCTTTGCAGGGGCTGAAATCTTATGTATGTGACTGTGTATAAGTGGCTTGACTTCCCCAAATCTGTTTCCTCACCTTCAAAATGGGTGTTTGCCAAGTGCTATTTTTTTGCCTTCTCTTCTCTGTCTTAGGGATGTCATTTTTCTCATTGGTAAAACAAAAAAATCAGACCAAATGAAGTTTCGCGTTCTAAGTTCTCAAGCTTTGCCCCCTCCTCAGCCCTTGGGTCCCTCCACTTCCTCTTCCCTTCACTGTCTCTGCTCAGTTTCCATCTGTGGTTGTCATGTAATGCCCAGCGGGACTTTTCTTCTTTCCTTCTCATCTGTTCCACTTACTCTGTCTTGCACCAGGCCACCAGATTAATCCTCCACAAAGCCTCTCAGGCTTCTCTCCCACTCAGGAGACTTGTGGGGGCTTTATTCCTCTGAGACGAAAGTTCTCATGCCCACATGTGACCCTTTATGACTTGGGTGCTGCCAAATTCATTTCCTCACCTGCTATCCTCTCCACTGGCTCCCCTCTTCACCCTGACCATCAGATCTGCTGGCACATGAGTGTACCTTGTTCTGCACTGTCTCTGGCCTGTGGGATGCTTACTGAGTTTTAAGTCCCAGGCACCCTTTGGGAGCCAGCCTATGTGCAGACCTTCACCCAGCACAGTGGCATGAAGTGTGGGCACCACCTCTTGTCTGTCCTGCTTCATTCCATTCACATCTGGAGTGGACTTGCTGTGTGCACACCACTGACCGCCTGCCTTGTGTGACAGTTGTTCATCACAGGTCTTAGCTCCTTGCCTTCACCATGAGCCTCCAAAGAGGGCAGGGCACTGCCTGTCAGCATTTCTCATGGTGTCATACATGTTGGGTGCTGTCCAAATTAGTTACATCAATCAGAAAACTTCATTCTATCTGAGAAGTCTTAATAGTGGACTTGGGGATTATTAAATCCTAAAACAAAGTGTTTTTTTGGTGTGTGTGTGTGTGTGTGTGTGTGTGTGTGTGTGTGCGCGCGCCTGGGATTTAGAATATAAGTCTTGCAGTATTGAGGCCGTTTTATCAAAAGCCTTTAAAATCTGTAAGTGCATCGGCCCAGCAATTCCACTTCTAGGGATTTATCCTAAGACAATAGTCTTGGGTATCTGCTGAGAAAGTTCACTGGAGTGTTGCTTATAATGTGCAAAACAGGAGCTAACCTAACTGTCCAACAGTAAGAGATTGGTTAAAAAAAAAGCTTCATGGTGTATATTCATACTCTGGAATCACTACCTCCTAAAATGATAACGTAGAAGGACATGTATTGACTTAGTAAAATATTAAATGGAGGAAGTATGTTTGCAGATGCCATATTTTTGTCTGATTTCACTTACCTTCATTTATAGAAAATGGTAATTGGCATAGATAGTGTTAACATTAACACTATCAACATCTTAGGATGTTGAGATCATTGGTGATTTTTACTCGTTTTGTTTTTTTTTTTGCTGTTACCTCTAAGCTCTCTTTAGGAAGCATACCTTCTTAATGAAACTGTTAAAGTTGGAACTTAAGCTACTTTTATTCATAAAAAGTCACGTTTTGTATCTTCTATTAGGTTATCCTTTATGTCTACATTAATGCCGATATGGGGAGAACACAGTCTACCTGGCTCATGTCAAATGGTAGTGGGAAGCATGGAAGCATGCGTTTTCGAGCCCCCACTTTCCAGGTCACAGTGACTGTTCTCCAGTGCAGACCGATTGCCCTGTGTCCTTCAGGCAGGGTGCAGTAGGAAGTTACTGATACTTGGCTACCGAGCGTTTATTGTTCAGGCCTTGGCAACTGATGCTCTGCAGAAGGGACTGGGAGTGTGCAGTGGTGGAATCCGGCTGGCCTGGGTTGCAGGTTTAACTTGCGCGTCTGCCTCTGTGTGCCCTTGGGCTGTAAACTTTAGTCTGCACACTTAATGGGGATGGCCTCTCCCGTAGTCGGTTGGTGAGGGTGCTGCACAGTGAGTGTCTGGCCCAGTGTTGGCACGGCACAAATGCCGGCTAACTGGTTAGTCACCTAGACTGTTAGTCTGCAACCCACACCTTTGCAGTGAGCAACTGAACCTTATTTCTTTAATAATAAGACAGGGTTCCTGAAAACCAACCGTATTATTGGTTGGAAAATAGTTTTAAAAAATTATTTCCTTTTAACTGAGACATGTCCCGCCTTTCCCCTCTTGTCTCCCTTCAGTCTGTGGGCCAGGCATCGATATCCGCAACGACTTCCATCAGCTGAAGCGCCTGGAGAACTGCACGGTGATCGAGGGTTACCTGCATATCCTGCTCATCTCCAAGGCCGAGGACTACCGCAGCTACCGCTTCCCCAAGCTCACGGTCATCACTGAGTACTTGCTGCTGTTCCGAGTGGTTGGCCTCGAGAGCCTCGGAGACCTCTTCCCCAACCTCACGGTCATTCGCGGCTGGAAACTCTTCTACAACTACGCCCTAGTCATCTTCGAGATGACCAGTCTCAAGGATATTGGGCTTTACAACCTGAGGAACATTACTCGGGGGGCCATCAGGATTGAGAAAAATGCTGACCTCTGTTACCTCTCCACTGTGGACTGGTCCCTGATCCTGGATGCAGTGTCCAATAACTACATCGTGGGCAATAAGCCCCCAAAGGAATGTGGGGATGTGTGTCCAGGGGCCATGGAGGAGAACCCAATGTGTGAGAAGACCGCCATCAACAACGAGTACAACTTCCGCTGCTGGACCACAAACCGCTGCCAGAAAAGTAAGAATGGTGCTGACTGCTGCTTTCTCTCTGCTGCTTTCTCTTCTCTCCTTCTCCTCCTTGACCTCCCTTCTCTTCGGAATGCAGGAGTTCCACTGGGCAGGGTGCAGTCTGTTGCAGTAGGATGTGGCACACCTGCTCTGCGGAAGTTGTTCCTAGCAGGGGTCTTTGTTAGCTTTCCTTTGCATCTGGGACTCTTGGATTGTGGGACTGTGGCATGGCTGGAGGCCACCACGGCTGCTAAGACTGTTCAAATCACATGTTAGATATAATCCACCACACTCCTGGGCTAGAAACTTGCTGACCTTCAGCTTTGAACTCCTGATGAGAAAGGTGACCTGGTGTGCTTGGAAGTCCCTGAGCCTTGGTAGCTGGGGGCTGCTTATGTGTCAGGTCTTTCATCTTTTGTACGAAGTGGTATTTTTTGTTCTGCAGGACTTCCTTAGCTTGAACGGACTTGGAATATGGTTAATAAAGAGAAAGTAAAGCACTCACTCACATCCTGTGAAAGTGGTCCTTGGGTCCTAATGATGATGTTTTTATGCTCAGGTGTCCTGGTTATGACAGAGCACCTGGCCAAGGTGGGAGACCTCTGGACCCATTTCCACCAGTCCCATATTCAGACTGTGCTTGCAGGTAGCTGTGTAGGAGGGTGCATTTTTAAAGCTCTGGGATTCTGTTTTGTTTCATTTATACCTGTTTACTGAACAGTTGTGAAAATCTTAGGAAATCACGAGTGAAGGAACTTTGTAAAGTGTTTACTGCTCTGGGGGTCAGATGGTGGTATTTTGAAGCTTCTTGTATATTTATCTGCAGTATGCTTATTTTCCCTTTAGAATAACTGAGCTCTTGCCTTCATGTGATCAATTCTTTGAGACCCAGGCTGTTTGGCACTAAAATGTGACTCTGAGCCTTTACCTTATTGCATTCAGCAATATTTAGGTATATTGGCTAGGAAGGTTTTCCTCACTGGTTGGAAATCAGTGTGTTAGCTGTAAAGAGCTATTATTTAAGTGTTGGCCCAGTTAAAGGTACAAGGATCCCATGTTCTCAGGTGACGAAGAGCCAAGAAACCCCAAATTGTTAGACTTGCCTAAAATAAATAAAAGATGAAACCTAACGGGTGAAGTGTGTAAAAGAAATAAATAGAAGGTCAGACCTCACAGGTAGCTCTTACTTCAGTTTCCCTTCAGCCGGGCCTGAGGCAGGAAAAGGATCTGTGTACCTGATCTGCCACACCCTTTTATACTTTTATCTGCAGAATTTGATCAGTGTGTGTGTGAACATTGATTAGTAGGGGCAGGGGTCCCACTGGCTGCAGCCAGCCGCTACCTCGTAGAGCTCTGAGAATGCAGTCAGATCACTTTAAGGTTGGCGAGAGTTGGAGGAAGATCTCAAGCTGAAGTCACTTGTGTGGTTGATTAAAACTGTGCCCTATCATGAGGTTACCCACTGGTTTGAGATAACAACAAAATATATATTTTAAATAACCTTGACATTTACGAAATTTATCTGAAAAGTAAAAGGTGTCATCAGAGGAGGCAGCTTGTAGCAGAAGAGAGATGTTGAGTGTGGTGACAAGGGCCAGGAATGACCTTGGATGGGCCAGCCCCTCTGGGCTATAGTTGGGCTTTTTTTTTTGAGACGGAGTTTCGCTCTTGTTACCCAGGCTGGAGTGCAATGGCGCGATCTCGGCTCACCGCAACCTCCGCCTCCTGGGTTCAGGCAATTCTCCTGCCTCAGCCTCCTGAGTAGCTGGGATTGCAGGCACGTGCCACCACGCCCAGCTAATTTTTTTTTGTATTTTTAGTAGAAACGGAGTTTCACCATGTTGACCAGGATGGTCTCGATCTTTTAACCTTGTGATCCACCCGCCTCGGCCTCCCAAAGTGCTGGGATTACAGGCTTGAGCCACCGCGCCCGGCCTATAGTTGGGCTTTTTTAGGATACTTCCAGGGCAGTCCTGTACATCTTGTAGTGGTGATTAGATGTGGGCAGAGAATGTTTTGAAAACTCCTAAGCTCTTTAAGAAGGGAGGTACTCTATGAAACATCATTAAGTGGGGAGTTGTTCAGGAACCTGGTAGTGGTTACTGCAGTCTTGCTGCGGGTTTTTGGCTGTTTCTGATCAGCTCCTTATTGAAGACCCCTGGGTTGGGGTGAGGCCTGCGTTCTGGGTCCAAGGCTTAGAGTGGCAACTAGAAATAAACACATTATTTAAATTGCCTGGGCCTCGGTTTCTTCATATGTGGAATGGGGTAGAGCCTGCCTTCCTGGTAGGGTTGCTGGAAGATGAAAAGGAGAAAGGAGAAGCACCATGAAAATGTGACGGTGGTTAGGAGTTGGGCTCTGCTGGTGACAGGCCTGTTGGGTGGTCACCTGCTTCCCCAAGGTCACGCCCTGCAGCCTTCTCCTTGACCATCTCAGCCCTGCTGATGTTTGCTGTGATTTCACAATGGAGCACTTAAGTAAAATTGATAACTGCTTTCAGGGAAATTGTCTTCCCTTCCCCTTGTCCTGAAAACTCAGGCATGGGCATGTTTCTTGGAGATTTTCTAGTTGAGTCAGAACTTTGTCTTGGGTTGCATAGATTCCTTTTAGACTGCATTGTCCAATGTGATAGCTGCTTGTTGAATAAGTGGACACTTAGTAAGCCACATGGCTTACTGAGTACTTGAACGGCGGCTTGTCCACAGTTGGAAACACTAGGTTTCCAAGACATCCTATAGGAAAAACCCTGTACACCATTTTGTTAATAATTTCTATATTGCATGTTTAAATATACATTTTGGATATGTTAAAATATGTTCCTAAAATTTCACCTGTTTCTTTTTTTGTTTGTTTTTGAGCTGAATTTTCTCTCGTTGCTCAGACTGGAGTGCAGTGGTGCAGTCTCAGCTCACTGCAATCTTTGCCTCCTGGGTTTAAGTGATTCTCCTGCCTCAGCCTCCCGAGAAGCTGGAATTACAGGCACATGCCAACATGCCTGGCTAATTTTTGTATTTTTAGTAGAGATGGCGTTTCACCGTGTTGGCCAGGCTGGTCTCCAACTCCTGACCTCATATGATCCACCTGCCTTGACCTCCCAAAGTGCTAGATTACAGGCGTGAGCCACCACGACCGACTCTTTTTAATTCCTAATGTGGCTGCTTGAAAATTTGAAATTACAGATGTGGCTTGCATTCTGTGTTGGTAAGAGAGCTTCTTTAGAGCGTTTGTTTTAACACCTGGAGTTCTTCCCCTCATCATCCTTTTGGCTGAGTGGTCACTGCAGTGCTCGTAACCCCACATGCACCTCTCTAAGAGCCAGAACTCTTAGGAATCATTTGGGGAGCTCGGTGAAGGGCACTGAGTCCAGGCAGCATGGCTACGTGGAGTTTGGCGTAAGCGTTCAGATGACCATTTGAAAAGATGAAGCACAGAAGAATCCCATTCAGTTAATCTTCCGTTGGCTGGCTGTAGAACTAAGGAGAACATCTGGAGAAATGCATCAAGAGCGTGCGTGAAATCGTTGAGCCTACTCGATTTTGTAGCGCTGATGCACGGTTTTTACTTGGCGCTGTCCTTTAAACTCCTTGACTTTGTAGTGCCTGGCAGTGTAGTGGAGTCTAGCCCCACTATGGGCGTGACCCCTCGGTGGGTTCTCTGTATATTTATGTATTTCTCAGTTCTTTTTAGAATTTGGGAGTGGATTTCATACATTTTGAGTCATTCCTAAAGAGCAATTGACCCTTAAAGAACTGTGTACAGTGCTTTACTTTCAGTAAGATCATAGCTGTGTGCCGCCCATCTGACGTGTGCCCTGAGTGATTCCTCTTCTCTTGTCTTCTGACGCCACCCTCTTCCGAGTCTCTCCCTGCCCCCACAGCTGCTACTACTCTGTCTCCCTCCCCTCAGTCTGGCCTTTAATAGTTGGTGGTCTCCATTCAGGCTGCTGTAATAAAATCCTATACCCAGAGTGGCTTACACACAACACAAATACAGTTCTGGAGACTGGAAGTCCAAGATCAAGGTGCTTACCAGGTGAACTGTCTGGGGAGGGCCCACACTCTGGTTCACAGACAGCACCTTTTTACTGTCTTCACATGTTGGAAGGGATGAGGTGTTTTCTCCTGGCCTCTTTTTTATAAGGGCACTAATCCCATTTGTGAGGGCTCCACCCTCTTGACCGGGTCACCTCCCAAACTCATCACACTGGGGATTAGGTTTCAACATAAGAATTTTGTGGGGACATAAACATTCAGGTAAGAGCATGGCCGGATTTCTGTCCTGGGCTCTTCACTTTCCTTGTTGTTATCTCATCCACTGGTAGGTAACTTAATTGCCTCTTGTCTCCATCTAAGCTTCCAGATGTCTCCGGCCCTGACCCCTTTTGAGCCCAGGACCTGTCATTCATATCAGACCACCATGAGCATTTCACTGCAGCTTCTGATGGTCCTCTGTTTCCTCACTTCCGGCCTATTTTTTTTTTCTATTCCCTCTTAAGTGGGCTACACTCTTGTTCCCCTGGTTCTTATGTCAGGAACGTGGGTGTCCTTTGGACACTTCCCTCTCCAATTGGACACTAGGCCCTTTCTATCCCAAATGGAATGGGAATGCTGCTTCAGCTGCCCTCCTCTGCTCCTTCCACTTCCAGCAGTGACATAGCCTCTCTCCTGCTTTGTGCCCTGCAGCTCCACTCAGCACTGGTGAGCTTTCCAGTATGCACTTTTTGTTTTATTTTTGGGAGAGAGCCTCACTCTGTCGACCAGGCGGGAGTGCAGTGGCGTGACCTTGGTTCATTGCAACCTCCATCTCCCGGGTTCAGTTGATTCTGAGTAGCTGGGATTACAGGACCACACTACTACACCCAGCTGATTTTTGTATTTTTAGTAGAGACAGGGTTTCACCATGTTGTCCAGGCTGGTCTCAGACTCCTGACCTCAGGTGATCCACCTGCCTTGGCCTCTCAATGTGCTGGGATTATAGGTGTGAGCCACTGCACCCATCCATTGTGCATTT